TATATATATATATATATAGATTAAAGCAAATTGACAGACATGATAGCATTACGAACACAAGACATTACATAAAGATTAAACAGACCATAGATAAATAGTAAGGATACTGCATAAAGCGTTAATGGTCACAACACAAACAACATGTAAATTCAACAGACACGGACTGGATAGAAAAAAAACAAGTTAAACTAAGATAGTTGAAGCAAATCAAACGGGGACTTCAAAGTCTTGGACAACAATCACCCACGAGCAGAGCTCAGGAAACGATGACCACAAAAGAAACAATCAGAACCCACCACGAAGGCAGAGAACGAGGTGGAGCGTGGACTCTTTCTGGAGTCCGCAAGGGTGCGACCGTCCTCAAGCTGCTTACCGACAAAGATAAGCCTCTGCTGGTCCGGTGGAATCCCTTCCTTGTCCTGGATCTTCGCCTTCAAGTTGTCAAATGTGTCCGAGCTCTCCACCTCCAAGGTAATAGTTTTTCCAGTTAGAGTTTTCACAAATATCTGCATCCCACCGCGAAGGCGGAGGACTAGGTGAAGGATCGACTTCTTCTGGATGTTGTAGTCCGCCAGAGTGCGCCGATCCTCAAGTTGCTTTCCGACAAAGATAAGCCTCTGCTGGTTCGGAGGGATGCCCTCCTTGACTTGGATCTTGGCTTTCACGTTATCGATGGTGTCCGAGCTCTCAACCTCCAAGGTAATGTTCTTCCCAGTAAGAGTCTTCACGAAGATCTGCATCCCTCCCCTCAGACGGAGAACAAGGTGGAGTGTAAACTCCTTCTGGATGTTGTAGTCTGCAAGGGTACGACCATCCTCCAGCTGCTTGCCGGCGAAGATCAACCTTTGCTGATCTGGAGGGATGCCCTCTTTATCTTGAATTTTGGCCTTCACTTTGTCGATGGTGTCTGAGCTTTCAACCTCTAGGGTGATAGTCTTACCGGTGAGAGTCTTCACAAAGATCTGCATCCCACCCCTTTGGCGGAGGACAAGATGAAGAGTGGACTCCTGTATGTTGTAATCAACAAGGGTGCGACCATCCTCCAACTGCTTGCCAACAAAGATTAGTCTCTGTTGATTTGGAGTAATGCCCTCCTTATCCTGGATCTTTGCTTTCACGTTGTCGATGGTGTCAGAGCTTTCCACCTCGAGGCTGATAGTCTTGCTGGTAAGAGTTTTAACAAAGATTTGCATCCCTCCCCGTAGACGGAGAACAAGATGTAGGGTTGACTCCTTTTGAATGTTGTAGTCGGCAAGGGTATGACCATCCTCAAGCTGTTTGCCAGCAAAAATCAACCTTTGCTGATCCGGTGAGATATCGTCCTTGCCCTGGATTTTAGCCTTAACGTTATCGATGGTATCAGAGCTTTCCACCTCGAGGGTGATTGTCTTGCCTGTGAGAGTCTTCACGAAGATCTGCATCTTGAGAGGAACAAAAGTCTGAAAGTTAGAACAAAATTATATCAAAGTGAGCAGCGGACACACACACACACACACACACACACACACACAGATATATATATATATATATATATATATTGTGCTTCTCCTTGTAGCATCCTCTCTTCTTTCTTTCGAAGCTTTTTCCCCTCATTGAGCAAGGCTGCTTTCTTCTCTGAAGGCCGCACTTACCTTTGAGGATGACTTTGGACAGATCGTATGCAGCTGCCCTTGCTGGTGTCCACACCTCAGACACATCTAAATCGCCATCTTTCTCTTCTTTGTTTGAGTGGGCGGAAGACATCAAGAAACCTGTTAGGAAGAATGGGAAGTCTGCCATAATTTTTACAGAAGCTGAAGGCATTCAACTTGCTTCCTCCTGTCGTATGAATTTAGTTGGAAAATTTATATATGGTCATCCCAAAATAGAGATTCACAAATAATTTGAACTTATGCACCTTGTTGGAGAGTGAAAAATTGGACTATTATATGAGAGACACATTCTTATTCAAATTAGTAATGAAGATGATTACATGCGCTTATTTGCCAGAATGATATCATGGATTGATAACAGAACAATGAATTTTCTGAAGTGGTCTGCGAATTTTGATCCACAGACGGAACCGCCAATCATTCCGGTTTGGATTCGTCTCCCTGGTCTGAAATTTCATTATTTTTCTCAAAAAGTATTGTACTCTATTGCCTTAGCTTATGAAAAGCCATTCAAGAAAGACATCCCTACTTTTAATCTTTTCTGTCCATCTGAAGCCAGAGTATTTGTTGAAAGAGATATCACTTTACCCGCTTCTGAGGAAATCTGGTTGAGCACAACATCAAGGATATTGGGATAAGGTAAATATTGAGTCTCTTCCGCCGTATTGTTCGAACTGTCGTATGTTCGGACACTCCAGTTCTCAATGTCATCATATACACCCCCACCTCAGACTAAAAAAGTAAACTGCTCTGCTAGAGGCTGTGATTCCATCTCCTCCTGATCAACTCCAAGTTTTTGACACTATTAATCATCAGAAGGATACCCCGGAAGACATCGGAAGACATCACTTTCGGAAGACATCACTTTCCCCGCATGCAATATGTCAACCATTCAGTCCCCACTTATAGCTCCTCAGTCTTTGGAACCTCCTATCGTGGGGGAGAGAGATTTTTCATACCCCGTCTGCCTTAGAACCTATCACCGATATTACATGTGAAATTACTTCTACTGTTTCACGACTGTTTCATCAGGTCCAGAAAGATGTTAGTGTTACTCAGACTTATGTGGATCATGATGTCCAACGATCTACAACTGTTCGACCCCCTTTGGAATCTACTGATCAAATGAGTCAATCATCGGATGAGGAATGACAAGTCTACACATCTGGGAGAAAGAAGAAAAATGAAAATCGATTTGAGCTCAGGAATCTGATGGATGATACTTTGGTTACTACTGGTAATGATACTCATCTTACTAATTTGTTAGCCGACCACTTCCAAGAACTAGAGACAGGAGGACTAAAGTGAGAGGTCCCTAGCACTTTTGTTCCCTTTTGTGGCTTTTTGATTTTCTTTTTTTTCCTATAAGTATCTTTGCTTTATTTAAGTATGTGTGTATTTTTTTGTATGAGTTAGGCTTTTTAGGCCCTCTCATGCAATATTTTTGTATCTTTTTCGTATTAATATATTTGCCCTTGGGTTTTTTCTAAAAAAACTATGGCTTTTTCTAAAAAAAACTATGGCTCTTTCATCCGTTAGGTCAATCGATCCGTCGTGCTCGAAGAAGAAGAAGGGCGCGCCTCGTCGTCATCCAGAGCTCGCGTCGTCTTCTAGAGCTCACGTCGCGTCTCTGGAGCTCGTGTCTTCTGCTCCTTTTGATATAAGGTCGTCGCGTCTGCTGCGGTTTGCCATCCGGAGCTCGCACTGTCTTCTGGACTCGCGTCGCGTTTGCTATGTCAAAGTTGCTCGACTGTTCGTTGCCGGAAGTCGACAAGCTGCGCCAGCCTGTTTTGCTTGTGTGAAGTATGCGAATGGCCTCAGGGCTTTCCAACGTCACTGCCCTCGCCGGTGATAATCCCGCCCTTTCCACCTTGCAGATAGTCCGATGTTCCCGCAGATGTACCATGATTCTGTTGCAAGACATGGAAATTGTAATCTCATAAAAATGTAGAGAAAAAGAAAGTAGAGAAAAAGACGGGCAAAAAAAGACGGGCAAACCAGCACTATTCTTCTTTGACTCTGAAATTTCAACTCGTGCAGAAAAAAAGAAATTTTAACTAGTTGAAAAATTCCAATTAGGTCGCTCTAAGAAAGAGATTATCAGGAAGGTTTTTGAAGATTTCAAACTAGTTGGGGCTTGACAGGTGGGTCTTTTCGACGGAAGACGTTATGATACAGATGAACATAAAAAAATATTACACAGATTTTTTCAAAGAAATTCATTACAATCGAGGACAATCATATGAAATTGCTCAAATGGACCTCTGATTTTGATCCCAGTTAAGAACCCTAATTGCGTCTGTCTGGTTTTCATTACATGAACTAAAACTTCAATTTTTTGACCTACCTATCTTATATGCAATTGAGATTATTTTCGAAAAACCTTTGCAGATAGACACACTTGCAGTTCATTTCTCACGGTTCTTTATTGCAAGGATTTTGATTGAAAGAGATATTACACTACCAAATGTAGAAAAAGTCTGGCTCAACTTTGCTCACAATGGTCATTGACAAAAAATCATTATAGAACAAAAACATTACTACTGCAAGCACTGCAAGATGTCTGGACACTCGCAAGAGAAATGTTTCAGCTTGCACCCACAGTTGAGAACCAATAGTCAGAAGCAAAAACATGCTGTTAGTGCACTACGTGCCTAAACGCGCTCACAACAAATCTGATGACAACCAACTTGAGTAGGGAATCACCACAAGACAGGAAGTGGTGTCTGCCCTTGAGAACACTTCTCCTGACCATACTATAAGGGATAATGTTCGGACTGAAAGTCAGGATAACCCCACAGCTCCTATTCAGGAAGCTTCAGGTGCAGAGGTGACATTCACGCTTCACATACACTGGAACTTATCGCTGTGACAACGACTGTCTTTCCTTTTATTGCGATTCTAATATCTAATCAGATCGAGAATCACACGAGCGAGTCTTTCAGATGAAGAATGGAAGGTTTACCCTTTTTGGCGGAAGAAGAAAACTAGGGGCACACTCCAATTTGAAAATTTAATTGATGATACTTTGATTACTCCTGACAATGACACGACACTTCAAAATTTGTTTTCTCGCTCCACTCCTAAAATTAGAGGAAGAGATAAGACTAAACTGACTCGTCCCTAGTTACTTGTTTTCTGCTTGTTTTAAATTTTTTGAGTTTATCTGTTTCTTTTTGTTGGGGTAGTACTGTACTTGGTATCGTATGAGTAGGGTGCTTCTATTGGGCCCTCTCATACAATATTTATGTATTTTTTCTATTTTAATAAAATCAACCCTTAAGCTTTTACATATATATATATAAAGCCCAAGGGCTAATATATTAAAAAAGAAAAGATGCAGATAGGTTGTATGAGAATGACTTAAAAAAGCACCATATCTGCACGGTACAACGCACACAAATGTCACAAAAAAAGAAAAGATACATGTAAAACCAAAAATCAAAACTGCCAAATCGCAAAATCAAGTAGCTAGGGAACGACCAAATTTAGTCTTGCCTCTGCCTCTAGTTCTAGAAAGAGAGCCAGCTAACAAGTTTTTTTGTGTCATTACCCGAAGTAACCAAAGTATCAAGTAGATCTCCATTCTTCTTCTTTCTCCTGGATGTGTAAACCTGTCATTCCTGATCCGAAGGCTGGCTCATCCGATTAGTGTGTTGTACCACAGATTGTCGGGCATGTACAAGATGATGAGCCCCTTGCACCTGACTAACAGTAACCACTTGCTTGATCTGATGAGGTGGTAGAGGTGCAGTAGAAAGATTGTTAACCATTGCAACAATGATAGACTCTAGGGTATGTGAAGTATGAAATGTCTTCTTTGCACATGTGGCTTCCCGAAGATGAGGAGCTGTGACGCCTTCTTGATGATTGGGTCGAACATTGTCCCGTGTGAGTAGGTTTGAAACTGTAGTTTGCCCAGTAGAACCATCGTTAACACGTCACTCATAGAAACATAAACATTATTATCAGGGGGTGGGTCTCCGGTAGCAAGGGAGTTACAGGTGGCAATGACAAGAGAAATGATATTTAGAGGAGAGAGAATGGGAGGAAGAGCAGATGACGCTTCAACCAATGTTTCAATAGGCAGTGGATTACACTCAGAGGTGGAGGGGCAGGTGTGAGCTTGGGCAGGGGGCTCAGAACATTTTTACTTTGAGGTTTTAAATGAGGGTGCAAATGGTGATATTGAGAGTGAGAGTGTCCAAACATACGACAGTGAGTGCAGTAAAGTGGGGCCTATTCAAGTTCTACTGCCGCCAAAAACCTTGGTGCTGTGAGCCAATCCAGATTTCCCCCGAAAAAGGTAAAGTAATGTCTCGTTCAATCAAAACTATGGCTTCGGAGTGCCGACTCCGATTAATTGTAGGAATATCAGTTTTGAGGGGTTTATATAGACCACAACTAAGAAGTAGAGGAGCTCGTGATTGAATAGATGGAACTTCAGAGACGGGAAGCGTAACCATACAAGAATGGTAGGAGGTTCAGTGAAAGGATCAAAGTCGACCGTCTGTTTTAAAACTTTCTTCACACAGTTATCAATTTGAAAGAGCCTTCTCGCAAACAAATGAACATAGTCTTCATCATCTGATAATTGGATAAGAACATACCTACCTTCCGGTTTACCAATCTTCCATTACCCTTTCAAACGTATTTGTTCACTCTTTTCGAATTACATCGAGTTTAGGGTTTACATAGAGGAGCTTTCCAACAAAGACCAACTGCCAGGATGAGGCTAAGGCGGCAATCTCGATGTCAGAGAGAAAAAGTGTGAGTTTACCATTT